GCGCGGGCACCGAATGAGGCGGAGGTGAGGGGCTGGAAGGCGGAGTGGGGAGAGGGAGGGACAGAGGGTGGGGGAAGGGATGGAGGGATGGAGGGGAGAGACCGAGGGACAGAAGTGGGAGAGGGACAGGGACAGAAGGGAGAGAAGGAGAGATGGAATCAGAGACAGGGCAAGATGGAGAAATATAGTGAGAGAAAATGTGGCGACAGAGAGACCCATGAACAGCATAAGATTCTTCTCAAAGGAGACAAGCAGGGAGTAGCAGAGACCCAGAGGATAGAGAGACAGCAGGCAAGCGTGCAGACTTGGGGGAGACAAATGAGAACCTGCCCTGCCCCCAGATGAGAGTGAGAGAGTCACTGTTAGCTGGGAAGTCCCTCCCTGCACTCCAGCCCCCAGGCGCATCAGGTCCCATTTAATCTTCTCAGTGTAACTGGGTGTCTGAGGTCACTACTCTCACCATCTCCACCCCAGTGGAAGACACTGAGGCCCCGGAAAGGTGCCACCTCTTGCCCTAGGGTACACAGCTGGGATTCTCCTGACAAAAAGTCTGAAGAGAGAGAGGGAAGAAGTGGGAATGACCAACACAGGCAGGACAGTGATGGCAACAGACCAAGATGCTGGAAAGGCTCATGCTCTTCCCCCGCCCTCTCTCCTCTACCTTCTATCTGCTTTCCTAAACACATTCTCCACTGTGCACTCCTCTGCTCAAAGCCCTCCTGTGGCTCCCCATTGCCCTCTGTTTAATCCGAAGCCTCTCACCCGCATGTGGGCCCCCCATGGTTCAGATCCACATCTTCCACCTTCTCTGCAGTCGTGATGGACATCCCTCAATCGGTGGACAGCCCGGCTCCCCCACCAGTTGGCTTCTGTCTATGCTCTCCCCGGAGTGCCACTGCTGTTTGTATTCTACACTGAAAACTTCCCGTGTCCTTTATGATATAATTCAACTTCACTGCCTTTCTCTGAGTCTTGATATTATCTGCGTTACCCGTTATTGCTTGTATCACCATGTAGTGTGTCTGTGTGTGCCGGTATTGTCTCTCCTACCCAATAGGAGCCCCTTGAAGGTAAGGCCTGGGTATCTGATGTCTTTGTTCTTACCACTGCTTAGCAAAAACTCAGAAAATCAGAGGTTGATGATAGGTGCATGGTTGGATAGATGGACAGATGGCTGGATGAATGGGTGAATGGATAAATGGTTTGATGGATGTGTGGATGGATGGATTGGTTGATGGATAAGTGGGTGGGCTGGGTGGATGGGTGGGCTGGTGGATGGGTGTAGATGTAATTGAATTGATGGATGGGATGGATGGATGGATGGATGGATGGAGAGAATGATGGATGGGTGGATGAATTGGTCAATGGTTGTGTGGTTGGGTGGGTAGATGGATATGATTGGATTGATGGAAGGGTAGACAGGTGAATGGGTGGCTGGCTGGCTGGTTTAGGCAGATGAGTAGATGGATGGATGAATAGATAGGTGGAACAATGGATGGATGAGTGACTCAGTTTCTTGAGAAAGGATGAACAACTGTATGCATAGGTGAAGCATGAGCTAACACAAAATTTGGCATATAATGCAGAAATAACCACACGTGGTTTAAATTACCCCCTGGAAATCCTTACTTTGCCCAAAACTCTCACGCAGCTGGATGGATCTCCATTGCTGGAACTACCTGTCAGAAACCGGCCAGGCTGACTTGAGTGTAGGTCTCTCTTAGAAGGAAAATGGGCCTCCTCTTCAGTGGTAAAGGGGAGGTGCTTCCAGCACATGAAGGGCAGAGAACCTGAATTTTCACAAAAGGACCCGTAGGTCTCAGCTCCAGTCGCTCCCCACTATCTCTGGGACCAAATTAGTTGAATGGCCATGTAGAGCTAACCTCATTCTTTATCATTTCCCCTCTCTGTCTTCTTTGTTAGCTCTGTCTGTCTGTCTGTCTTTCTCTCTCTCTGTGTCCCCTGTGTCTATCTCAGTCTCTCTTTCTGTCTCCCATGTTTCTGTCTGTGCCTCTCTCTCTCCCGGTCTCATTCCCCACCTGTACCACTGGATACCGGTGAGTTAAAGTCTAGTGCATGCTGCAGCAAATCAGGGCATGGAGGGATGAGAGGCCACGGAGTCAATGTGTGAGAGGCTAAAGCAGGTCGCTGGGTGGTGGGCACAGAGAACACAGGGATGCAGCTTTCAAACAGCTAATAACCCCACCCTCCCATCTGCAGACGAACCCATAGCCCCACCTGAGTGAGATGTGCTGCTGCCCCTGACATCATCTGGCCTCCAGGATACCTACCTGTGCTCCTTCTGTGTCTGTCACCTGGATAAATGGCTCTGCCTCCCAGCTCTGCTTGTCTGTCTGGGAGGGGGATGGAGCTGGGGCAAGTGTGAGATTGCTTGCTTCCTCCCAGGGCACACCTGCAGAGGGTTCCCCCCACCCCTTGGGGGACCCAAAGCCACTGGGGACATAGGAGCCTCACAGAGGGAGCTGGGGGGCAGGATCTCGAGCCCAGACCCACCATCTCAGTCCAGACTTCCCTCTGCCCAGATTGCTCTGTTAGTTTGGTGCCCTCTGGGAAGCAGACAGAGGGACAAATTAGACTTGCAAGATATTTATTGGGGGAAAGACTAATGGAGGAGAAGTTGGTGTGGGTCTGGAAGTGAGAGAGGAGAGGGGGAAGGAAGGAGGGGTGGGCAGGATGAGTCTTGAATTGTAACACAATTCCAAGAAAGTTTCCACCAGGACACTGGGGGTCTGAAAGCTGAAGTCCTCTGCTAGAGGAGGCACATGTCCTAGAGGGACCGCCCCGCCCCGCCCCCCCCCCCACATTGATGGGAAACCTGACAAATGCTAGAGACCACCAGAGACTATCAGGCAACGGCACTTCCTGCAGGATGAGACCTGAGGGGTACATCCCCCTGGCTGTAACATGCCCCCCAGCCCATTTCAGGTCCCCCTCAACCCAGGCCATGCCCACCTAACCCCCCAAATCCCTAATTTCAGATGCCCCTCAGTCCAGACACTCCCCACCCATGATCACAGCCCAGCCCCTCCAATCAGCCTGGTGCCCCCATCAGCCCAGGTGCCCCTCAGCTCAGATCCTCCCCACTTACCCCCAGACCACTCTCATTCTCAACCCCAAAAGCTCACACACCCCATGATCAGAGTCCAGTTCCCCGTTAGTCAGCACTGACCTCCCCAAACATACACACACACTGCTCCAGGTCTTGGCTTCCATGGCTCTCAGAAAAGAGAACAGGCATCTATATGCTATATCTGTATTGAGGGGTCCCCCCAGGGGCACCCCTAATCTTCCTCATCCCCCCCTTCCGTATCTTCGCCCCCTTCTGTCCCTTCCCCTTCAGTAGCCCCTGAGACATCCAGGGTCCCCTCCAAAGGCACGGAGGTTGGCATGCTGCCCACGGACTTCTTTTCACTCACAGTCCCCCGGTCCTTGGACAGCAGAGAGACGGTCCTTGGCAGGCTACATTTGCCCTGCAGGAACCCTGGGAGGCGCAGCATGTCCCGGCGCCTGGCCCACCTGGTGGGAAGGGGACACACTTTCCTCAGCCTATCCGCCCGCTCTTCTGGAGCAAGGTGTTCCCACCCTGCCCCACCCGAACTCAAACCCCACTCGCCAGAACAAGCAGATGCTGGAGATGAGGAAGAGAAGGCCTCCGCACGTCCAGCCCAGCGCCCACATGTGCTTCCGCCGCATGTTCTCTGGAAAACATGGAACTTTAGACCCAGATGCCAGCTTTGGCCCCTCCCCAGAGACACTGGCTTCCACTCGCTCACCATCCGGCCGCTGGTGGTAACACACCCCATCTCGGTAGCAGCATCGTAGGCGCAGACAAAGATTGGGATTCTCGATCGCTGCTTGACCCCCACAGCTCTCCCGGTCCCACACATCTCCCTCACAACCTGGGGACCAACAATGAGCAGGCTTCATCACACAGCCTGGCCCTGAGGGCCTTAGAGCGCCAGGATCCCAAGGCCAAGCTCTGAGAATTGACTGCCTAGTACTTGCTTTGTACGGGACCCAAGAGTTCAGGCCCTAGCCTTCCTCAGATCTAGGAGTCCAGGCCCCCCAGCCTCCTCCTTCAGACCCAGGAGTCCAGGCCCCCAGCCTCCCTCAGACCGGGAGTCTAGGCCCCCAGCCTCCTCCCTCAGACCCAGGGATCTAGTCTGGGTCCCATCCCTGGGAACCCGGGGTCCAGCCACAGCTCACTCCATGGGTAGAAGAACCCTTGGATTCCATTCCCGTCTGTGAAGGAAAGAAGATGGTGTCAGCTGCTGTGTGGAGGCCGAGGAGGCCCCTGCTCAGCTCTCTGACCCTCTCTCCGGGGCCCCTCACCTACTGAGCCCTGCATCAGCAGGA